AATATAATTCATATTTAACTGTGTGCCTTGAGAGTTGACTAGATTTTTTTTTTGGTATTTTTGTTAAATTAGGGAAACCTAGGTAGACAACAAACAACAAGGTAGAACTATGCTCTATGAACATTGTTCATGAATAAATAGAAATGAACTGTGATAAGCACAATATAGATGACTTTCAAAAACATTATGCTAAAGGAAAAAAAATCATTACTTCAAAAGTATGTATTGTAAGATTTCATATATGTGTTGCCTTACAAATGATTCCATGTATTTTGAAATGGGCAATCTCTTCCTGTGCAATTTACAGCATGGAAACCCAATGGTAGGTTAGCTATGATATAGTTCTGACTCAAAGACAGCTAGTTGAGAGCCAGAGAACCAGCAAGACTAATGTAGAATTAATGTTGGGTGATACAAATCAGAACAAGTGGTTTTCAAAGATGGGAATCTCCTCCCATTAGATTTGCTGTCTCGGAAAACCCACTGGAGGTTCAGCTATGAGTCAGTTCCAACTCATCAGAACACAACAACAATAGCAATAACATAATAGACAGTGTATTGTGTTTCATTGACTATACAAAGGAAATTGACTAAGTAACTAGTAAGAAATTACAGATAAAATTGAGAAGAATGGGACTTACCGAACATTTAATTGTGTGTATGCAAAACTTATACCTAGATCAAGAAACAGTTACTGGAACAGAACAAGGAAACACTGAATATTTTAAAATAAGGAAATGTGTGTGTGACGGTTGTATAATTGTTTTGTACCTATTCAGTCTGTATGCTGAGCAAACAGAATTGGTGGAAGATTCATCAACAATATGCAGATGACACAACCTTGCTGGCAGAAAGTAAAGAAGACTTGAAGCACTTGCTGAAGAAGATCAGAGACTTCAGCCTTAAATATGGATTACAAATTAACATTAAGAAAACAAAAATCCTCATCACTGGACCACAAGGCAACATCATCATAGATAGAGAAAAGATTGAAATTGTTGACAATTTAATTTTACTTGGAACCACAGACCCATGGTAGCAGCAGTCTAGAAAGCAAAAGGTGTCTTTCATTGAGCAAAACTGTTGTCAAGGACCTCTCCAAAGAACTAAAGAGCAAGGATATCAGTTTAAAGACTAAGATGTGTCTGATCCAATCCATAGTATGTTTTGTTTCCCATGCATCAGAACGTTGGACAATAAAGAGTACTGAATAAAACTGATGTCTTTGAAAAGAGGTATTAGCCAAATACATTGAATATGCCATGAACTGCCTAAAGAACAAACAAATCTGTCTTGGAAAAAATGCAACCAGGGTACTCCTTAGAGAAAAGGATGGTCAAACTTTGTCTCAAATACTTTGAGGATGTTGTCAGAAGGGCCAGTCCTTGGGAACAAACATCATACTGGAACAGGTGGAGGGTCAGAGAAAAAAAGAAAGCCTCTCAAAGAGATGGTTTAATGAAGTGGACTATAACAATGGGATTAAGCATGTTGGAGATTGTTGAGAATGGTACAGTAGATGGGCAAGCTCCCATCTACTGTTTATAGGGTTGCTGTGAGTCATAGTTGACTTAACTGCTCTTAACATAAACAACAATAGACAGGGTAAGACTTTCATTTCTATTTGCATGTCTAGTAATTGTAGATTTTACACTGAATATGTTAGTGAGATTGTGAATTCTGCTTTTCTTTGAAAAGCGAATTTTGTTCTAGGAGGCAATTCAAATACTAACGGACCAGCTTATAACTTGTGTTGTCTTGGATTTTGCTTTTTGCTTTTTTTAGGGTGAGTCAATCTGTAGAAAGTCCAAGGTATTTTCCAAACCTTGTAACTTGGCAAGACTCTACCTCCAAAATCTGTCTCTTCTAGGGATCTTGTCGAGGCTTGGTTTTAGACTCTGTTAGGGCAGGTCTAGAGCTGGTATAACTGTAAGGTGTGCTCCTTACTCCTAAGGTGTGGCCTTTGTGGTGTCTCAGCCTTATGCCTGGGGTATTAAAAAGGTGTTAATGTGGTATCTCCAGTCTGCTTGGGTAACATTTTCTACAATCCTCAGTATTTCCTGACCCCAAATCTCCGGGGTATTTCCAGTTTCCCCTACTGTGTGCCACTCTCAATCTGCAGCAGCCAACTCTCTAGTACATGTGGAGAGGTCTTTTCGTCAGACAAAGCTTCCTAAAGAATCTGCACCTGACCTTAGGTTCAATCACCCCGACAGCACAGCTGCCTCGCGTTCTTCAGTGCTCAAGTTGACCCTTCATCTCAATGGGATGCCATGTTCTGCCTATATTCTGGTCGACAGAGGTGTGGTTAAAAATTTTTGTCCTTGGGCAGAATGAGTTTCTTTTCTCTGAGCAATGATGGTGCTGTACTGTCTTTTCTTGCCCAGTTCTTGGAAACAATTTTGTCCCATGCTCGGGTTTTATGGCTGTTTGGTTATCATGTGTTAGAATTGACAGCAAGGAATTAATGGCAGTAAGGCTAGCCTGTGCCAGTGAATCTTGATATAGTAATTTCACCATATATCACATTGTATCATATCATACAATCACCCTATATCATATTATAATAGTATGATATACTATAGCATAAAAAAGCTTTAAAAATGATTTATCTTTGTACAAACTTTGTCCAGTTTCAACCTATTGAATTAACCACTTCAGGAACTTTTATTTATTATTCTGCTGACTCATTTCTCTGGTTAACCATGGCTTTGGAGATTAGTTTTCATCATGATAAGCAATTGACTTATATTTATGATATACAGCAAAGGTATATTATAAAATAGTAAGTAGTAAATTATAGGGTATGATTTAAAAAGCACTATGAAGGGCCTGAAGTCCAAATGAGAACTTAAAGATCATTGGTGATTTTCGAAAATCATTAAAAAGGGGCAAAAGATTGAAAAAGAGTTGTTATGCTTTCATAAACAACACTACAGTAAATTCACCTCCTTAATTATTTTACTTTCCAAATAGGCATTTAACTAGTTATTCAGCTGTGTAGATTATAACAAACTATGAAGTACTTTATGAAGAATAGGAATTCTAGGACTTGTGTTCATACAGAACCCCACACATAGACTAAAAGTTCTTTGAACAGAACAATGGATTACTATGTGGTTTAAAATGAGCAAAACTGTGTATCTTAAATAACATGTTGGGCAAATAATCCAACAAATTAGACTGTGTGAATAAGCACAATACATCAGGATTGGAAGAAGATTCATTAAAAATCTTTGATATATAAAGGATTCAAGTTTGCTTACTGCAAGAGGAGGGGACTGGAGGCACCTACTGATGGAAACCATATATTACAGCTTTCAGTGCCAATTACACCTCCACACAAAGATAACAGAAATTATCACAACTGAGCCTGCTAACATTATTATGACAGATAGAGTTAATGCCTTTGGAAATAACAGTGATGAAATCAACTGACACATTGCACTGGGCAAATCTATTGTAAAAGATCTTTTTAAAAATATTGAAAAACAAAGATATCCTTTGGAGGACTAAAATATGCCTGATCCCAGCAATGGTATTTTTAATTTCTTCACCTTAATGGGAAAGTTGGACAATGAACAAAGAAGAATAAAGAAGAATGGATATTTCTGAATTATGATGGTGGCAAAGAATGTTGAGTATACTGTAGATGGACAGAAGGACAAAAAAAGAAATGAAGAAAAAAAATTGTCTTGGAGGAAGAACAACCAGAACACTCCGTAGAAGAGAAACAGAAGGGCTCTGCCACGTGTACCTTGGACGGGTTATCCAGAAGAACCAGTCCCTGGAAAAGGAGATTATGTTTTGCAAAGTAGATGGTCAGCAAAAGAGAAGTTCTTTAGCAGGATAAATGACACAGTGTCTACGACAGCGGACTTGGACTCGAGTGTGGTGTTTCATTCTGTGGGACTGTTAGTCCAGAATGACTTGATAGCAGCCAACAACCATCAAATACTATCCTAATCATGATAATAAATAGCGTTGCCATTAAGTAATTGTCAACAAAACACAAATTAACACAAGGCACAAGCAAGAAGAAAATTATTAAAACTTGATGGAGAATGGCTTGCAAAATTAAGCTGACCATTTTTGGTAATTGTGTCCCTTTTATTATTTGAGTTTTAATTTTTAGTTATACTCTGATATGACATCATATTTCACAAGATGTGTTCCCACAGTTTTAAATCAAGTTGATAGACTAATAAATTAGGAAAGGTTAAGAGATAATTTTATAGTTCTCTATAAATTCTAAATATTTGTTGTGTTGTTGTGTACCACAGAGTTGGAACCGACCCATAGCTGGCCCTCCGGAGGGTTTTCCGAGGCTGTTAATCGCACAGGAGGAGATTGCTTGTGGTCTCGAACTTCATTTCTCTGATATTACAGGGCAGCTTCTTACTCACTAGGCTACCAGAGCTATAATATTGCTTATTACTAAGCATTTTAGTTTATTATTAAAACTAAGAATTTTAAACTTCTATGTAATATAAAATGTGAAAAATAATCTAATAAAATTTATTATTTTAAGAACTAGGAATTTTAGTTCAAGTATGATTACACTTTTCTTGTTCAATATTAGCTCCACGTGCTTCTAAAAATGACAGGTTTTCTTCGGACTGAATACTAGGTGGCATTTCCAATCTTAGCCACAAGATGGCTTCACAAGTCAACATCTTGCAGACACATCATTTCTCAGTTTAGAGGGATGATTTGGTCTGTTTCTGTTATTACACTTGAGCATGGTCTCTTGCCCCTCTCCATTTGCAGTGAAAACCATTAAAATGAAACATAGATTAGATTGTTTTAAAATGAAAATTCAAATTCAGAGATGCATCTCATCATTTAGTTGTTACTTATTTATAGATGTTTTATCTCACACGGCGGGAAAGTTAGCAGCCCTCTGTCTCTCCTGTAAACATTCTTGTGTGATTTTCCTCATTTGGACTACGCGGGGCCTTGATTTCAGGTGAAGGGCGTGGGCCACAGAGAATACTTACATTAGGAAACTCCATTATAAAATCATAAGCATTTGCTTCCTTTGCTGCCCTCTCAATCTCGTCGTCAGTCACGTTGTCTCGCCCATATTTAATGTTGTTTTTGATGGTGGTCCCGAACAAGACAGGCTCCTGGCTGACCACTCCAATATGTTCTCGATAATGGCGCACGTTCAGGGCTCTGATGTCCTTCTCGTCCACCGTGATCTGCCGACCGACAGGGGTAAACCATAGAATGAGGGCTTTTACTATTCGGTCATAGATTCTTTCTCACTAGTCCAAAATGCCAATTGAGAAGCAGGGCTTTTTAAGGCCAGTCACTTTCTCAGTTACGACTCTATTTTGATGGAAGTTTTATAGCATATATGCTGTCAAGGCATTCCTTTTGTTAGATAGGGATCAACAAACCTTAAGAGAAGAAGTGGTTTACAATCTGCCCAATCATCTCTTTATCTGTACTCCTCTTTTTCACTCACTCGCTTGCTCACACATCGCTGTTAAGTCAATTCTAATAGACTCCTAGTGATCCTTCAACTTGGAGGTTCCAGTTCACTAAGAGGCACTTTGGAAATACGACCTGGCTAGCTCTAACATCTGAAAAATCAGTCATTGGATACTTCATGGAACACACATGTAGTGGCCATGAGATGGAACTGACTTGCAAACTTTTTGTTTTTCACTTTTAAGGAGCTCTGATTGCGATGCTTGTCCAGAGGTGGCACCTCTCCGGAGGTTCAAATCCAACAGTCGCTCCAAGGGAAGAAGATGGACAATTTCCTGTCACAGGATTGACAGCTTTCTGAAAACCCCTGGAGAGTCCTGATTTAGCTGCAATATGTACATAATCTACTAAGGATCCCTGGTGTTGTGGTAGTTAAAACTGTGAACTCATCAAATACCTGTTCTATGGGAGAAAAGTGAGGCACTCTAATAAAAAAAAAAAGAAAATTAAAGCTTGAGAAAGGCTGTGGGGTAGTTGTGTAGTACAGGTGTGCTATGAATCAGAGTTGATAGTGCACAACTCCACAAAGTTTACTTCTCATTTGACTTCTTGTTTATAGTTAATCTGCTTCACAAAAGCAGATATTTTTATAGTTCTAGTGCTCTGTTCTCAAGCACCGAGAACAATCCCTGGCAGACTGTTAATAACTATGAGTCGAAAAAAATAAATACATGAGCAAAGAAAAAATATGATTTTTTTCTTTCAGTCCCATAGCTAAAAAGAAAAAAAAAATGACACAGATACAGGCTCTATGGTAGTCAGTCAGTTACTGCTGTTGCGTTGAAACTGATTCACAGCTGCTTCTCCAATGGGTTTCCGAGGCAGTAAATCACCCAAGAGGAGATGACTGTCTTTCTTCTATTGAGCATCTGGGGGATTTGAACCACCAGAGAGGCGAAGCCTTTTGGATAGAAGTATCTCTACAGACTCCACCACCAGAACGTCACTTCTAAATCTCTTTATGGCGAGGATTGTGCTTGGTTTTGCTAGTTGTACTTACACAGCCGTTGCTGGGATCATACAACCTCTGCAGAAGCTGGACCGTTGTGCTCTTCCCACTGCCATTGCTGCCAACCAGGGCTACCGTCTCTCCAGAGTTAATTTTGAGGTTCAGGCCCTTCAGAATCTGTTGGTGGGTAGAAGGTGGAGGAGAGGGGGAAAGAACACTCTTCATAAAACTATAATAAATTCAGATGTTGTCTGTAGGTTTCCAGAAACTAATTTATGATTCTAAACCAAACCTGACAAAAATGAACTCTTCTGTGACACTGATGAATAAATTTATATCTTGTTACTTGTTTGATACATACATACATGCACGAATTTAAACTCTCAGCATATCTATCAATTATTTTCATAATAATTTCTGTGAAATGATGGGAAATAACGTCTTATCTATGTTCATGTCTCTATATGTTGCAGGAGAAACATTTGTAATTAGTACATATTAAGAGCAGATTCAAACTGAAAGGATTCATACACTAACCATCACAGAAGAGTGTTTGCAATATCAACAAAACTATTATTACAGAATATTTTACTATCATTCACTAAATTAATTCTCTTTTCATTTTCAATAATGTGATTAAATTTTGCCAGACATCATTGTAATCAATTTAAGAAAGATCTTCCTTAAAAGCTACTTAACATTCTTACAACGTAAAACATCTGGCAGGGCTTTTCAGTGATGCCCAGGGATGAGGCTACATAATTAGAAATGCTCTTTTTCTTGCAGTGTTTATCCTAGGGGAGGGGAATTGAATACAGGCCCTTCTTTTTATGGGTTGTTATTGTGAACTAGAATTGGAACCGTCCCATAACTGACCCTCCAGCAGGTTTTCAGAGGCAGTTTAAATCCCATGGAAGGAGATGGCCCATCTTTCTCCCATGGAGCAGCTGGTAGATTTGAACTGTGTGCTTTTGGGATTACAGTTCAGTGCCATACCATTCCAAAGGACTGAGCTTTGCTACCAGGAATTAGTATTCTGGGACCCAGAATGTGAGAGAATCCTTGCACAGAACTACCCTCTCAAAGTGCCAATGGCCCCATTGTGCAGAAACTCTCACCTACCTTGATTAGCATTTTTATGCTTGAAACCAAAAGCTCTGGAGTCCCTCATTGAGTTCTCTTACCATTGCAAATAAGTGGACCTTTGATTCACATCTTTAATTCACAGAAGCGGATCCTTTAACTGCAACACAACATCCTCAAAGGGTCAAATAGAGGAAAATTATCCAAACCCTGGTGGCTTGGTAAATTGTGCTACCAACACAAAGGCAGGAGAACAAATCCCCCAGCTGCTCCATGGAAGGAAGTTGGGCAATCCTCTCTCATGTGATCCACAGCCTCTGAAAACCCACTGAAGGCTCCGCTATGAGTTGGTTCCAACTCAACAGCACATACAAACGAGAACAACAGTGGTGCATCATTGGAAAAGGTAGAGGATCAAAGGAAGTTTCTTAATGAGATGGGTTGAACCAGTGACAGTAACAAGGGGCTGGAGCATGTGGGGGACTGTGAAGATGGCACAGGAGAGGGCATGGTTCTGATCTGTTGTTTGCAGAATCAGCGTAAGTTGGAGTTGACTCAATGTCCCGTAAGCAATGATGTTTCTGTGTTGGGTGAATTGTGCACGTTTTGTACTTTTTCATTCTCCAGTTCCTCAGGCTTTAAATGCGCTAATAATTGGGCTTCAGTTACTTTCTTTTACTCTCAGAGTTTCCATTATCTTCAAGTCAATCCTGACTCATAGTAATAGGACAGGACAGAATTGCCTCACAAAGTTGCTTAGGCTATAAATTTTTATGGAAACAATTTTTATGCTTCAGACTACAAACTTGTCAGCAGCTGAGTGTTGGTAGCTGGAACCCATTACAATTTAAGTGTTGGTTCTTTTTTGGCCTTTTTTTTCGTTCGTTTTCCAACTTTCACATGAATATGAAGCAATTGGCAAAATTATGGCTTGCGTCAGGTATGTCTCACTCATCAATGTTTTTGCCCTTCAGCATTTTAAAGAAGACATTGATAGCAGTTTTGCTCAATTTAAAACATCTTTTGATTTCTTGATTGTTGCTGCAATTTATGTTGCTTGTGGATGCAAGCAAAAAGAAGTTGTTGACAACTTCAATCTTTTCTCCATTGCTCATGAGGTTGTCTATAGGACAATAGTACTTTTCTTTCTTTCTAGCCCTTTTAAAAGATTTTTATTAATTTTAATGAAATTTACAGAGACTTTGAATTTCCATTAATTCATTGTTGCACTTTTCCCCCTGCCCACCCCCTCCTCTCCCAGCTCACTCTTCTCTTTGAAAAGTAAAAGAAAAATTCTTTCATTGCTTTACAATCCCTCCCCCCAAGTTCACTCCACTATGCACCTTCATTCTGGACTCCTGTCATGACAATAATACCTAATCATATATCCCTTTTAAACAGTTCTCTCCCTCATCTGTTTGAATGCAGTATAAATAATTTATCCCATGTTTTTCAGTCTCTCCCCAACCCCAAGGTCAGTCTAGTCTTACAACAGTGGCACTATACAGTATTTGTCCTTTTGTGACTGAGATACTTCACTCAACATGATGTCCTTGGGGGTCACCCATTTTGAATAATATTTAATGAATTCCTTGTTTTTCAATGCAGCATAGTATTCCATTGTGTTGAATATACCACAGCTTCTCTATCCATTCATTTGTTGATGGGCACTTCGGTTGTTTCCAACTCTTTGCTATTGTGAACAAAGCTGCGATAAACATGGGTGTGCATATATCTGCTTGGGTGCTGTTAATGGTTTCTTTGGGGTAGATTTTTTTCTTTCTTGATGTTGTTATGTGATCCACATCAAAGGTCTCTACTCTCCTGCAGCAAGCACTTCACTTTCTCCTTCACTTCTGCAAGTAGGGTTGTGTCGTGTGCATAATGCAGCTTGTGGATGAGTCTTCCTCCAATCCTGATGCCTCATTCTTCTTCATATAGTCCAAGTTTTCAAGTGTGTTTCTTAGCATGTAAAGTGAATAGGTGTGGAGAAGGAATACAACCCTAACACACACCTTTCCTGATCTTATACCATGCCAGGCCCTCTTGTTCTTTTCTAGTGAGTACTGTTTGGTTTCACATGAGCACGAATGAGTGTTCTGGAATTTCCTTTATTCTCAATGTTACTAATAATTTCTTATCCTCCAGACCCAATATTAACTATACAAAGATTAAAATGTAGTATGTTTGTTGAAGGGCCACTGCCCTGTCTGTCCATTACTGTGGTAAGCTGTGTGTTGTTATGATGCACCTTGTCTATGATAATATTTAAAATGCAAGCAAGGTTAGCTATAGTGAACAAGTTTCAGTGAAGCTTCCACAGTATAAAAGGCCTGGGGACTCGCTTCCAAAATTAGCCAACAAAAACCCTAGAGAATCACCACAAAATATTGTTTGGTATAGTGCTGGAGGATAAACTCTCTGGGTTTAGAAGGCATACAGAATATATAGTGGCCAGGGAGCTCTGGTGGCCTCTTGGCAAGAAGCTGCACTGCAATCCCAGAGGTACATGGTTCGAATTTACCGGAGGGACAATCTCTTCCTGTACCAGTCAGATCCGATTTGATTACACACACACACACACACACACACACACACACACACACTGGCCGTGAGAAGGGATCTGAATATATTTACAGTTGTGAGTTTCATTCCATGAATATTAGTGTGAAACACAATGTATTCGAACTTTGTAAGCAAACCAATAATAATTTAAAAAAGAAGTTGACCAGAAAAAAAAAGTTTCTGTTGACTGTGGGCGTGTTAAGTGAGGTAATGCTCTATGATAACCAGTAGGTGGCAGCATTAACTCAAGGCATTTGCCATGCTCCCAAGTGAAGTCTATAGCTGAAAATGTTTTAGTTCAATTTATAAAATATATATTTTTTCAATATACAAAATTTAGTTAGTTCTTTCACAGTAGTTCATCCAGTAAGGACTGATCTAACCTAACTGCTCTATCTGTGTATCTTTCTATTATCTCTCTCTGTGCTTTATTTAAGTCTCTGAGCAGAGTAACCCAAATATTGGTCAAAATAATCCTAAGCAGTCTCCTAAAAGAAAGAACCTGTAGACAGTAGGTGACACTGACAGAAACGTTTACAATTCTTTTATTTCTCCTACCTTGAGAGATGGTCGTGATGGGTAACTGAAAGAAACATTCTTAAATTCCACAGTGCCTTCTATGTGTTCAGGTTTACATCCAGTTGTTGAAAAATTATTGATAGCAGGTTTCTTGGAAAACAAAAAGAATATTACAGATCTGTGAAGAACTAAAACAGCTTCCTATACCCATAAAATCATCAAAGAGTGATTTTCTTTTACCATATGTTTCTTTTCTGTGCTAGTAAGCTAGGCACACAGGCTACAATCAAACACAGATAGATGCCTTATAGAAAAAACTTTAACAACAACAACAAAAAGATCTTTCTGTAGCCAGCCCTCTTGGTGTAAGCTTTGGTGTTAGACTGTTAACCAAAAAGTTGATAGTTTGAATCCACCATCTGCTCTGCATAACAAAGATGAGCAGTCTCCTCCTGTAAATATTTACAGCTTCAGGAACCCCAAACAGGGGTGACCATAAGACAGGACGATTGCTTGGCAGCAGGTTTGTTGAGCTTATTGCTTTAGGGAGGAAAGTGTGCCCGGTGTTCAGTCCCCTTTCTCTGTCCCAGTAGTTATTCTTCACAGTAATTGGAGGTCTTACCGTATCAATAACCTGGAAAATATTAAAGGCAGCTCCTCGGGCTATTGTAAAGGTCTCGAAGTGTGGGGCTGCTGCTCCAATGCAATAGCTGCTGTGGATGACGCTGAAGAAGACCTACAGAACAACAACAACTGCAGTTTAATCCTTCCACATTCACGTGAGAGAGATCACAGAAAGGAGCACATGCTTGGGGAAGATCACAGAGAATTAGCGGAGAGACGATGGCGGAAAGAATGAAACATGCTGCCATGCATAAAGGAAACACCTAGTAATCCAGACTCTTTGACTCCCTTGTGAAGTGTATCTGTGCTTGGTTGAGGTAGTTTTATGGTTGTCTCCTTCTAGCAAGTCTGAGCAAGAAAACACACTGACCACACCTGACCCAGATAGATATGTGTGTGTTTTAAACTTAAATTTTATTGTAATTTGAATGAAAGTTTGCTGAAGAAATTGGGTTTTCATTCAACGATTCATGCACATTATATTTTCTGACATTGATTATAGAAATCTATGATGACTTAGGGATAACAAGTTGTGCTCCCAACCCAAAGGCACTCAGTTCAAATCCACCAGCTGGAGAAAAATGGGCAATCTTCTCGTCGGCTATTTACTGTCTAAAAAACTCACTGGAAGGTCCATTGAGTCACATGATGGATAACAATAACACATAACAATAACAACAACAACAACATCAACACCAACATTGATTATAATCTCCATAACATAGTGGTACTCTCCCAACTTTTCCCCTGTGTTTCCAATTTCCACTAACCCTTCTCTCCTATCCCTTTCTTCCTTCAGTGCTTTGTTGCATGGAAAATTATATCCTTTTTGATCTTTCATAGGTGGATGTTCTAAGAAGTTCATTCTCTTCTGATGTTATCATTCACCTACTTGGACTATGCTCTGTTTGGTTGATAGTTCCCAGAAATAATTTCATTTCCAGGCTCAGAGGGTGGCTAAAAGGCGTATATATGAACTGCCTTTTATAAATCCAGCCTGTACTTCAGGCAGTTCTCTGTTGATGTGCTGTTCCAGTCGTTTTTGGATAATAATCTTCAGCAGAATCTTACTTGCATGCAATATCAATGATAATTTTCACACTCTGTTGGATCACCTTTCTTTGGGATGGGAACAAATATAGATCTCTGGTCAGAAGGCCAAGTGGTTGTCCTCCAGATTTCTTGGCACAACTTGATGAGCACATCCAGGGCAGCATCTGTTTGTTGAAATATGTCAATTGGTATGCCATCAATTCCTGGGGCCTTGTTTTTTGCCAGTTCTTTCAGAGCAGCTTGAACTTCCTCCTTCATCACCACAGGTTCTGGCTCATACATGAAATTAATGAAATTTCATTAAATTCTTTGTGTCCACTATACTCTTTCCATCTTCTTTTAATGTTTCCTGGACCATTTAATACTCTGCCCAAAGCATCCTTAAGTATTGTAACTCGAGGTTTGAATTTGTTCTTCAGTTCCTTCAGCTTAAGAAATACTGAGCGAGTTCTACTGTCAGAGACCTCTCCGAGGTACTGAGCAGCAACAGTGTTAGTATGGAGACTAAGTTGCACCTGATACAGGCCATGGTTTTTACAATTACTTGCAATGCTTCAGAGAGCTGGACAATGACTAGGGATACTAGAAGGAGAGTTGATGCCTTTGAGTTGTGGTTCTGGAGAAGAGTATTGAATATACCATGGACTGCTAGAACAAACAAGTTCATCTTGGAGAGGGTGAGGCCAGGTTGTTTCTTGGAGGCAAGAATTTTGAATCTCTGTATGACATACTTTGGACATTTTGCAGGGCAGGATCAGTCCTCGGAGAGGAATGTCAGGCTTAGGACGGTAGACATACAGTGCAGGAGAGGAAGACCCTCAATGAGATGGATTGATTGAGTGACTGGAGTAATGGGAATAGGCGTGTCAGATACAATAAGATTGTCAAGGGATAGAGTAGGGTTTAGGGCTGTTGTACATAGTGTCACTAGGAGTCACAAGCTACTTGATGGCACATAACAACAACAATAGCAACAACAACATATGAACTGCCAAGAAAACAAATAGGTCTGTCTTGAAGAGGGTGAAACCGAGTTTCTTCTTGGAGGCTAGGATTTTGAAGCTCCATCCCACATACTTGGGGCATGTGGCCAGGAGAGACTGGTCCTTGGAGAAGGACATCATGCTCAGAGAGGTGGACGGACAGTGCAGAAGAAGACCTGGAAGAAATGGATTGATACGGTAACTGGGGCAATGGGGGTAGTTGTGTTTGAGTCAGTTAGACTGGCTAAGGACCGGGCAGCCTTCAGAGCTATTGTACATAGGGTCCCGGTAAGTTGTAGGTAACTTGACGGCACATGATGACGATAACGATGACGACAACAGCAACAACATCTTGGAAATGATGAGTGCATTTTGACGCATAACTGCAGGAATTTAAATAGGAACTCTGGTGTGAACTGTTTAAGTGCTTGACTGGTAACCAAGAACAGCAGTTTGAATGCTGATGCTGATCAGAGAAGAAAGATTTAGCAATGTGTTTCTGTAATGATTTACAGCCTTAGAAACCATATGTGGCAGTTCCACTCTGTCTTATAGTCACTGTGAGTTAGAATTTGACTCAATGGTAATGGGTTTGATTTTTGGTAGGAGTTTAAAAGATTAAATTGAGATGTAGAACATCTATATGTGCTCTGTCCTTAGTAATACTGGATATTCAAAGAACAGAGAAAAGGCAGGGAAGTCCAATCTTCAGAACACTTTCAGAGGGAAGATGGTCAGTCAGGTGAAAGCAGAATTGGAGAGGGCCACCTCTAGCAAAGAGGAGGGGCAAGTCCCACTAGAGACTAGCTTTCTTATCACCAGATTTGTTGTTGCAGTTGTTGTTAGATAACGTTGAGTCAAGTACAACTGCCATATTTAGAAAACTCTATAAATGTTCCAGTGGAGAATTCAATTATAATTCTTTTGATAACACATATATTTGTATAAATGTGTCATTAAAATATGATGGGTGATTAAGTCCTGTCAGCTTATGATGTATTTGAAAGCATTTCTAAAACTACGGCTCTCTTAAAATTCACTTTTACCCAAAGAGGGATTTTTACTAAACTTTAAGTGTTTGACTCCCTGCTGACAGGTTGGTGGTTCAAATCCACCTAGAGGCAACTTGGAAGACAGGTCTGTAAGTCATGACCTTGAAAACCCTTGGGAGCACAATTCTGCTTGGACATATGAGGCCATAATGAGTGACTGGCTCAACGGCAACTGCCAATACCATTGAGGTAACAAAGGATGATCTAGACCAGTTACTTCAATTTTCTGATAAGACTTACAGCAAGGACAGTCTCGATGGTATACCCTGGTTCTCCACCGAGAACCAAGGAGGTTCCATACCAAAAAGCAAGGCCATACGTTCCGTTCATGAAGAAGTGTACAGCGCCAAGAGACAGCTTCGAAACAATTGCCTTCTTAATGCCAACGTCTTTTGCATCTTTTAAATTCTCTGTATACCTTAAAAAAGACAAAACACAGTGAACAGTGTGGTAACCCAAGGGGAAAAGAAAATCAAACTTCTATTGTCATAACTGATGGGACAGACCTTTGAATTTCTTTCTCTTGGCCTCCAAAGGCTATGACTGTTCGAACTGATGATAGGACTTCTTCTGCTACGGCTCCAGCTTTGGAATACGCCCTCAGTTCCTTACTGGTCAGTGAGATGACCATCTGTAATAAAGCGCAATCATAGGGAACAAAGAGTGACTGGGAGATAGTATCACAGAGCACTTCATTCTAGAGATTCTAGCATCACTGAATTTTATTATTAGACAGGTGATTGTATTTCATTTAGTCCCTCTCTGTCAGCTTGTAAGAGAGGAATCAGAGACCAAAATTATTAGTTAAAAGTATTATAATTAGTTAAATAATTAGTAAATAATTAGCTTAAAATCTCATAAGCAATGAAAAAATAAGCCCAAGGTAACATAAAACTGTATGTATCAATATGTCTACCTACCTACCTATCTACCTATGTAAATACTTTACCTTCTACAGTACTTGGAGAAAGATATATGGATATAGTTCATTTTAGAAGCACTTCAGAGATTAAAGAACCTGATCTGTCTTAACTTATTATTATGTAAACAGACAGCCTTTCATGAATATGACTCACAGGATTGCAGCTAGGAGGGGATCAGTGTGTGTGTGTGTGTAGGTTTTCCCTCAGGGTATTTTTACAGAACGTAGCCTGCCTAATAAATGCTTCATCACTCAACATGAAGAGGTGGCATTTTTTAGAAAGAAGGGAGACCATTGTGCTCCTTGGTTATAGACTATTGTTTACCTGACCTCCCTTTACTGGAAACCAGAACACAGCTTTCTCCTCTACTGTTAAGGACCTAATGGAACTCTGGCAGCATAGTGGGTTATATGTTGCAATGCTAACCTAAAGGTTAACAGTTCAAATCAACCAGCTACTCCATGGAGAGAGATGGGCAATCTCTTTCCAAAAAAGATTTAGAGCCTTGGAAACTAATGGAGGTTTGCTCATTCACTCAGAACTGACTCAGAGCTGACCCTCCAAGGTGTACATCACAAAGGAGGACATTGGTCATCTTTCTCCTGAGGACTCCGTGCTGAGAGAGGCTCAGCCTTTGGGTTAGCAGAACCATATGGGCTTTGCTCTCAGAGTTCTTTGAAAGATTCCTATGAGTCAGAGTCAACTGGATGACAGTGAATTTGGTTAAGGAATTCTTTGGCTATTGTGGCCCTGGAGGACATTACACTGAGTGAAATGTCTCAGTCACAAAGGACAAATACTGCATAATGCCACTGTTATAACACAGGACTGACATTGGGGTTAGGGGGAAACTAAGAAAAGAAGGAAAAAATAATGTGCACTGCATTGAAACAGATGAGGGAGAGAACTGCTTAAGAGAAATATATGATTAGATATTATTTGCATGACAACAGTCCAGAATAAGGGCAGTGGGGGTGGAGGGATTGTATAATAATGAAAGATTTTTTTTCCCCAAAAGAGAAAAGCAAACTGTGGGGGAGGGGTGGGTAGGGAGGAAAATGTGCAACAATGAATGAATGAAAATCTATGTTCTCTATAAACTTTCATTAAAATCTCAATAAAAAATTAAAAATGGAGATAATATAAAAAAGGGAATTATTCTGCTATTGAATCTATCAGGAACTTTGGATCACAAGACATACTTTCAGTAGAAACAACTAAACAACATGTGACCTGGACTATTTGAAATTTCGTTAGGTTGTTAAATGAAGGGAATTTTCCCCCCCTTTATTTCTTTAGTTTAGTAAAGTCTTGAAAACAAACCACATGTCAAGATAACTTGAAAATAGAAATAGGATTAATGATGACCAAGCAAATAGTCATTTGTGGTGTATAGTAAGTATCTCTTTGTATTCTAGGACATGAATGAAACCATACAAACCCAATGCTGTAGAGTCGATTCTGACTCACAACCACCTGCTATTGGATTTTCAAGGCAGTAAATATTTACTAGTGGACAATACTCATCTCTCTCCCTTGGAGTTGCTGGTGGATTCTAACTGACAACCTTTCATTTAGCTGCCCAATACATACCTTACTGTGCCACTAGTACTTCACTGTTTTCTCTTTAATAACTATGGGACTTTACTCTCAGGTCTCTGATTCATCTTAAGCTGATTTCAGCTTTCTGCAGGTAGTAGTCCAGTTTTGCCAGCACCATTTGTTGAAGAGGTTATCATTTCCCTATTTGATGGGTTTTATTTCCTTATCAAATATCAGTTGACCATAGACAGATGGGTTAATTTCTAGGTTCTCAAATCTGTTCCATTAGTCTATGTGCCTGTCATTGTACCAGCATCATGCTGTTTTGGTTACCATAACAATAGTTTACAAAATACTCCTGGTCCTCCAGAAGAAAAAGACTAATCACCCAATTACAAAATGGGTGAAAGACATGGAAAGACTTTTCACAAAAAGACATTCAGATGACCAACACACACATAAAGAAATGCTCAAAATCGCTGGCAATAAGAGAGATGCAATTTAAAATCACAATGAGATACTATCTCATCCCAGTAACAGTGGCAAAGTTTAGTAGGGCAGCAAACAATAAATATTGGAGAGGATATGAAGAGGTGGGAACTCTTATACACTGTTGATGAAATTGTAAAATGGTGCAAGTACCCTGGAAGACAGTTTGACATTTCTTCAAAAAGTTGAACATAGAAATTCCTTATGTCTCAGCTATTCCACTACTAGGAATATACCCCGAAGAAATCAGAACTGAGACAGAAACAGTGATTTGTACACCAATGTCTATAGCAGCATTATTCCCCATTACAAGAACATGGAAACTGCTTAAAGGGCCAATCACAACTGAATGGATTGAGAAAGTGTGGTATTTTCACACAATGGAATACTATGCGGCAGACAGAAAGCAAATGATTTGGAAAAATACTGTATAACTTGGGAGAGGCTGGAGAGCACTATGCTGAGTGAACTAACACAGTCTCATCAGGACAAATATCGCATAAGATCATTATAAAAAGAAAAGGATAACTCGTAAAACATGTATGGGAACTGAAGGGGGGAGACAGCTGAAGATGGGTCGGGGCAAAACGACACAGTTGCACAGTTTGGAAGGTAGAGGGGGAGGGAAGAAAAATGAGCAGGATCTAGGCAAAAAGGGACATAATGGGCAAGGTCCAATGGTGATTCATTCTAGAAAACATAATGCATGAGAATGATGGTATGAAACACAATATGAATGAACAATAGTGTGAAATGCAATGTATATGAACTTTGTAAGTAAAGAAAAAAAAGTTAGTTAACAATCTCCAAAAAGAATCTAAACCCCAGAACTTTAACTTAAAAAAAAAAATCACTTAATCATGTATACATACCTTGACTTATAACATCAGTTGCACTTGTACAATGCCATTATTTACTTGACCTTATCTAAATTTTGCTACACCCACCCTTTCCCTTCAGCTTGCTGGTCTGTCAATAGGAATTCTAATTTGATAAATGTAGAAAGACGTCCAATTCACTCTATTGTTTCAATGAACAACATAGCAGCCAGTTGCCTACCCTAGAACACATTGCTGCCGAAGCCATTACAAGAGGAGCTGTGGACAAGGTCACGAGGGTAAGCTTCCAGCCTTTCATCAGACCGATTGTTAGGCCGATAGAAAAAGTAGACAAATTTTGAAACAGCAGGGCAAACTTGTCTCCAATACCATCAGTGATTTTGTTGATATCCCTGGAAGAAGCGAATGAAATTAGTAAGTCACATATACGTTGTGGAAATAAGATAAGTGCATTCCTCTTACTCAGTCATGCGAGTATTGAGTTCCCCGATGTCACAGCCATCAAACCAGCTGATGTCCTGGGCCAAAATGGACCGAAAAAAAAGTTTTCGAATTCTCTTGGTCTGCCGTGCTGCTGATATAACCCAAAAGGAAACCTGCACGTAGCCAAACACCAAGGCAGTCAGTCCTATTCCGATGTAATACATGGTCAGTCTAAAAAAAAAAAAAAAGATCATTGTAAGTGTTAGTGTGACTGATGCACATCTTCTTCCTCTCCTGTTAATAAAAATAGATACTATTTGACTTAGAAGAATTGATGCTGGAACCCGTAAGAGAGCTGAGAATATGTAAGAATCTAGTTTTTCCTGCTGAGGTATCTACAGTGTCATGCTGACACACTATTAGTGGAAATCAGTATCTTAACACATACCTACTACTCTTATTTTCTTTCACTATTTTTAATCCTTTAACTTGAAAGCCTGGCAATTGAAATTGATGGAACGCTGTGGCATAGTAAATAGCACGTGGTAATGCTAATGAACGGCTCTTGGTTCAAATAACCAGCAGTTTCATGGGAGCAAAATGGGAGAATGGGATTCCTTTCATGGATATGGGAGCTTGGGAAAGAAACAGACGTGGTCTAAATCTGAGATGTATCAAGTGATGCTAAATCTGAGATGACTATTAAACATCTAAGTGGAAGTAAAGGTAGAAGTTGAAAATGAGAGTTTGATATGCTAGAGGGACATCTAGGCTGAAGATGCCAATTTGGAACCCATTAGTTTATCTGTGGCAGCCACCTGAGATGTGGCCTTTGTAGATTAGCAGTGCAACTTCCAAAGGATTCCACCAGTAGGGCTCTGGTATGTCTAATTGGTCTCCAAAATTAGTTTGAACAAAATTTTACCATATTGATCTGTTGCACACATATTTTTTGTTTTTAAAGTTTATAGTAATGGTGTATTCTGTAAAGCACACAAGGTAATTTTTTTTTTTTAAAAGAACCCAAAACTCTTGTCCTTTATTCTGTAGGATGTCTACCTTTGGGGGCAAAACTTGTATGAAAATGCAAATCCCCATAAATTTTCTATTGATGATCATTTTATCAAACACAATCCAAAATCAATGAACATAGAAACTTTTCATATAGAAGAATAATTATGGAATAATGAAAGAAGGGAGCATTGGTGGCCTTGTGGCAAGAAGCTGAGCTGCAATCCCAAAGACACGTGGCTGGAATTCACCAGCTGTTCTGCAAGAGAAGGATGGACAATCTCCTCCCATGTAATTAACTGCCTCTAAAAAACCCACTGGAGGGTCAGCTATGGGTTGGCTCTGACTCGATGATACACAACAACAACAATGAAAGAAGACATACTTGTTTTAATTACTTATATGTGGTATTGATGATCTGAGAAAAGGTTTTCATTTTTTCTCTATGTGTACTGAATAGCAAAGGCAAGGATTAAAGCTGATGTTAAACTGTATTTGGACTTACAGTGCAGTATCTTCATTTGAGTCCTCTTGAGAGTGACTACAATTCCGATAATTTGCTGTAAAAAAAGTTTTAAACTGTAAATAAAATTAATTCATAATAAGCCACACTGTCTCACAGATAACTCCAAATCGATGAAGTGCTTTGTCGAGAAAATGTGTCTAAGCCTATCTGCAGGTTTAGGTTCATCCTATGATCAATTTTATTTTTCATCTAAACTTTAAATAATTATGTCTGCTCTTTTTAAAAGCTCCAATACAGTGAAAAGGACAAGAAAATATTAGCCACATAGCTAGTGAATCCTGAAAGGGTTAGACATTATATCTGATATTTCAGGAAACAGTTATAAAAATATTATAAGAAATAATAATAGAATTTGCCTTTTTTGAGATTTTACATTTAGAATTCAGTTTAAGAGCCCTCAGGGTATAATTTAGAAAGGATGAAAATAGGCATTAACATATGTGAGAACTGAAGAAGAAGGTGTCAGGGGCAGGAAACAAAACTCTTCTTTGAAATATGTTTGGTTTATTTAGGATAAAAACCCAAACTCAGTGCCATTGATTCAGTTCTGACTCTCAGTGAGCATCCATCAGATTTCTAAGGTTGTAATCCTTTTTTTCTTTTTTGTTAATTGCAAGTACATGTGTTTTTTTTTTCTACTAGTTTATTAAGGCTGTAAGTCTGAACGAGAGGAGACTGCTCATCTTTTTCCAGCTGGTGGATTTGAACCACCAGAGGCATGCAGCTTTTTTTCAGCAGAGCAGCATAGTATAGCTTATGCCACCAGGGATCCAGTTAGTGGGTGAAGGCGGGGATGAAGTAGTGAGAAAGGGTAAGAGGGACTTTAAAAAAATAGATAGGCATACACAATGGTAATTAATGATATAGAATATCATTTGTACCAGTGATTGTATAAAGCACGTACAAAACCCAATGTATATGAAAGAACATAATTCTGAAATTGGATATGGAAAAGGAAACAATACATAAAGAATGTAAGCATGTTGTTTGGTGTCATTGAGTCAATTTTGACTCACAGAGCCCCTGTATACACAGATCTAAACCTCAGTCAATACAGGCGGCACAAAAACATCTTTATTCTGAATGGTTGCATTTTCCCTTACTATTTTTATTTAGGACATCTATTTAAAACGCTAAGATTTACACACACACACACACACACACACACACACACACACGTTCTTTCTTGTGTCTTTGCTGAGTCTTGTTCTTTAGGGTCACACATGTCTCTGTGCTATTGAAGAAACACTAAGTAGCTATCCAAATGATTTAGCCATTCTTTATTTCTTACTTTTAAAGGATGCAATACAGTATCTGGAGTGACTCCAGCCTTTGATTAAATTCTTATATAAACCGTATGTGATAGAAAGTTATTTGAATTCTTATAGAGACATGTTGATCCAGGGTGAGTCTCAGATGACTCTCATACACTAAGTATTGTCAATAAATTAAAACTATGTTTGTATGTATAACTCAAAATTCGTCGCCGCCAAGTTGGAACCAGTTCTAGCTGACCCTTCAATGAGTTTTCAGAGGCTCTAAATATGGGAGGAGATTGTCTATTTTCTTCAGAGCCATTGGTTGAATTGGACCAGGGCCACCTTGGGGTTAGCAGCACAATTCTTTACCCACTAGGTCACCCGATCTTCTTGTTTTTATGTGTTGTTTTTAGGTACCATCAAGTTGAGCATGACTCATAGACAGACTATCAATAACAGATCTGAACCCTGTCCTATCCTATATTATCCTCATCCTCTCTGACACATTTGAGCCCATTAATTATCTAAAAAGTGCATTTTAGACAGCTGATATGAATATTCAGTTTAAAAATAACTGTTTGATAATAAATCCATCACTTTATCTTTACTCTTAAGCAAGACACAAGAATAAATTATTTTAAAACATGTAGCTATTGCTCACAATATATATTTTAAGAAATTTGTATTGTGAGGTCAATGGTTTTTATTATTTTTATGCTCTTGAGTTCCAGCAATCCAGACAAATGAATATACTCACTTGTGTTGGTTCTGATTAGACAACCACTAACTAGTTTATCACTCATTTTTCCTAAAACCAGTGACATTACAGGAAGGCAGGCTCCGTTCACCAGTGATGCTAGTAATCCCAGAACCATGAGTGTGATGTCCAGTCCATCAGCAAAGCGGAACTGAGGGGAACAGAAAAAGACACAGTAGTATTATAACTTCAGAAAAACTAATTTTTGCCAAGAAGTAAGTACAATGTTACAAAATTGATTACAAGGCTAAATGAATCCTAAAGATTTATAAACTGCTTTGAAAACATGGTTGAAAAATAAAGTAGATAAATCCATACAATTGGTAAACGGATGACACATATTAAAACAGACATGGGTACGAATCAGAAAGTACGTTCTATTTGACTGATTCAAGAGTCAATGAATCTATTTTCAAAGACTATAATGATAATATCTTTCTTTATGGGAAATGATGAACTGGGTGTCTCTGGCTAACAGTCCACCAGCATGTGGGCGTGCCAGAATTTTTAAATGCTGAAATGTTTGGCCTTGCCTTTCAGGCTGAGGGCTAGTGTGCTGTGAGTCAGTTTTATGCTGGAAATTAGGATGGCCTCTCACATCTTGTGGAGGGACAGATATTGAATGCTCAACGATCTTATGCCTGCAGCCCTCATGCCTGCTTTTAATTGTTTTTGGTCAAACATTCTTCTAGGCAGTACAGCACTGATCTGTCAATTTGCTGTTGTGATGCTGAACACTGTGACCCTGATGTGCCAAATGCGATATTTGCCACCCATGGCGGACAGTGTTTGCTGGAGCTCTCGAATTAAAACAAGTTTGTAAGCAGGAGTGGCATCCACTTTTGAAATAACTTGAACTATGAACTTGAAGAAATGAAAAAGGTTATACAAGTTTTCAGGATTTTAGTTCATAGGGTCACTATGAGTCACCTACAACTAGATGACATTTAACAACAACAACAACATGGAAAATAAGTCTGCAAATTTTCTTCAAATCTTTTTCCTAATTTCAGAGACATAGCTATAATACAACCAACCATCATAAAAGGTAGCAATCTAATAGAAATTAGTTCACAAAATGCTATAGATTATATTGTTGTTGTTACGCGCCATCCAGTCACTTGCGATTCATAGTGACCTTATATACAATAGCCCTGAAACCTGCTCTACCCTGTGCCTACTTTACTGTCTCTGACTCACTTGCACTCATTACCCCGTCACTTATTATCAATCCATCTCATTGATGATCTCCCTCTTTTTCTCCATCCCTCCACCCTTCTAAGCATGTTTTTCCTTTCCAAGGCCTGGTCCCTTCTTGAAATATGCTTGAAGTATGTCAGACAAAGCCTCAGAATCCTTGCCTCCAAGGAGCAGCCTGGCTTCACCCTCTCTAGGACAAATCTGTTTGTTCTTCTGGTAGTCCATGGTATATTCTCCACTCCTCTCCAGCACCACAGCTCAAAGACATCAGGTATCTATCATCCTAGTCATTGTTCAGCTTAATGACGCATATATTATTGATGCTTATTTTAAAGCCCCTAATTTTTTTTATTTTGATAATGTCTATTCTCAAAGATAATTTTGAAATAGATAGTGCTTTATATTTGAATCTATGCCAGACTCCTAAAACCAAAACAAGATTAAAAAAAAATGTGGCTTAATGATTTTACTGAGAAGAGCTAAGAAAAAAAGTAAGATTCTATAAAATAATTAGATTTGCATAGCAGTAAGAAAAACCTAATAAGTATTTTTTAAGTGGAAATAAAAAAAATCTCATTCCATTCATTTATATAAATTTATAATTAAAAATATTTACATTGTAACTTTCATGGCATTGTAGTCAGTACTATAGGTATTAAGATGCTATTTATCCTCCTTTACCCAGAATAGTGCATTATCTCCTTAATAAACTGCATTTTTTTAGTTCTCTTTTAAAAAAAATAATATGGTTATGTAAGTGAAGATTTACAAAATAAATAGCTTTTTCATTAAACACTGTACATACATTGTTTTGGGACATTGGTTACAACTCCCACTATTGTAACTGCACTTATCCCTCTCATGCCTTGTGTTGCTCATTTCCACTCACTATTCTTGACTTTGAATAACCAGGCACTGTTTCAAGTGCATTATAAAGATATATGAATGATAGGGTGCATGATAATCCCACTGGCATAAAAATTACTGTAGGCAGATGGGTTTTCTGGGAACACTCTTGAAATATTCTTTTAGTATGATTCCAAAGGTATGTGCTGACACTAGAAATAACTTCTTTATCTTAAAAAAAACCCCCATGCTTAAATTTATTGCTATCTAGTCAATTTCTATTAATAGCGACCTTATAAATAGAATAAAAGGGAAAAAGATGGACAATCTCTTCCCATGTGATTTAGCAGCTCTAAAAATCACAAGAGGGTCAGTTATGGGTTCTGACTTGATGGCACATAACAGCAAACAACATAAGTAGAACCTAGAGGAGGACTCTGTTTCTGAAGCAGTAATCTTTAAGAAAGCTAATCCCCACATCTTTCTCTTGCAGAGTGGTTGGTAGGTGTGAACAGACATGTCTGTTGGAGTCACTGTTTATGTAGTGATGTCCACTCCCACCCAATTTAGCTTTATAAGACACTAACTGAATTACTAGAAATTCTTTCTTTCCATTATTTGGAAATTTTTTGTTTTTCTAATCTTTTATTATGAAATCTTTAGATTTTTCATATTTTTGTTTCTACAAGAGATAATACCAGCATATGTTCTTATTTTTTTCAAGTAATTGATATAAACTGTCAAACACAAACAGCTCACAAGTAACAGTTCCCTTATTGACTCATTTTCCAACTGATTTGACTTACTATCTGAATAGGTCCAACAGCTTGTTTTCTCTCTTTAGGCACTTCTTGCAGTGGTCTGAAAAATGAATGTTTCAAATGGAAAGATTACAATGTGAATATAATTCCCAAAGGTTGCTAATAAGATTTTGTGTGAAATTTAATCTTTGATGGTTGTTATTATTTACCTAGTGATTCCCTGCATGACAAAATACAACTACTCCAAAAGATTGGAAGATTGCATGCGCTTTTGCTAGATTGATGACCAGGCTTGTTATCTGACATATATCTGGGGGTTCAAATGGCCAGTGTGGTGTCAAGGGTTTAAAGTTCATAATGCCTCTCTTAGTCATTGACTTTGACTTTGCCACATGACTGGGTGGGAACACGTACAAAGGGTGTGTTAGTCTACTTACAACAGGGTTTATTGTTTTGTCATTTCATCAAGTTTTAAATTGAGTGGATTTAGCAGCAGAAATTTGAGAATTTCATTCCAAGCAAGGAAGAGGAAGCAGAGAGTGCTATGTGTGTCCTTTGGGGTTAGAGATTCCTGCACCAGTCAGATGGGATCTACGCAAGAGTAGCAACAGCAGCTTCCTCAGAGAACCAGAGACTGATAAGAGACAGCTGATTTAGGACTGCTGCAATAGGGATTCAGAGCCAGGTGCCTTCACCTAATCTGGCTGGAGAAGTGGGAGGACTAAGGGAACTTTTAAACACTGACTTAAGCTGAAGTTGAAAGTCAAAAAGCTTGTGAGTACATTTGAGAAGCAGTTTGTAGTGAGGAATTATATCTTCTGCCAACTTGAATTTATAACCTGTTATCCTCCCTAATAAGCCTCATAATCATGAGTACGGTTCTGTGAGATCTCTTTGGTCATTGCAATGACCTTCAGACCCTGTAAAATAGTAGGACTGGTGTTTGGAATTTGTAGAAGGAGGTGCAGAAGCATAGAAGACCTTGTCTGACCTTATGGGAATTGGTTTTGTTCTGTGGATGATGTTGATCGGGACAGTTCCCCTTTATGGAGGTGGTGGTTGTTGTTGTTAGATACTGCCATTTCCATATTACTGCCACTTTTTTACAGCCAACCTTCAGTTTAGTTGATTTTGTAGCAAAATCATATAAATAACTTAAATTTAAAAAATAATTTTCGAGAAGTGAATGGGGGGTGGGGGTGGGGTGGGCAGGGAGAAAAGTGCAACAGTGAATGAATGGAATTCCAAAATCTCTGTAGATGTTCATTGGAATAAAAGAAAATAAAAAAGTAAATAAAAAAATAATTTTCATAAACAGTACCAAGGTTTTTAGAATAAACACTGAGCACATAGATTCTTATCAGTTCCCCTATGTTTCTTAGGGTAGACTTGAAGGCACTCCTCTGGAGTAAAATGTCAAGCCTTGTAACAAATTGGTCAAGAGAAGCTATGAGCTTTTTAATGAAAGGAAGTTATCAAGGACTTTAGTTTTTTTTTAAAAAATATATTCTAAATTTTGTTCCTTATATAAAAACTTGCACTAAGTGGAGAGGATCAGAGTAAGAAGTTCTAACTCTTCTCTCTAGGTTTATAACAATCTTGTTCTCACAGAATGGACAAAAGAGTCATTTATTTTTACTCTTTCTGTGGTTAATAATTAACTTATGTACTAGATCGATTTGCTTTGAGATTACACATGGATGACAACCCATGCTTGTGGTTGTAAGTAAAATCCCACAACCTCTTCTCCCTTGACAAGTTTTGTTTCAGAGAAAACATATCTATAATTCACTGTCACAGAGAGCCTTTGAAGGCGGGCCCCAGGTCTGTTAAACGTCTCTTTTCTACCCTGGCTGACAGTAGAGGACAGCACAGAGTGGGGAAGTGCAGGTTTAGAGAGTTCCTCATAAGGCTGTAGGTCATGCCACTGCAATACTGCAATTAGGAATGTATCCTATAAGGCCTGGGGCCTGGGGACTGAATATATTGCAGAGGGTAGGAGGCCTGACCCAGACAGTTTAGGGAAGATCCAAAACCTCTGTCTCACTTTACTTGTCAATGGCCTGCAATCCTTGTATCATTTTCTTTCATGTTGTTTTCTTCCATTTTCTCACGTCCAAATGAAATGGGGCATATTTTCCTCACTTCCTATAGATACCAGCAAAATTAACCATGCCCTCATCTAATTTTATGTGTGCTTGTCGATGGTAGCTCTGATGGCCTACTGGGTAAGAAGCTGTGTTGCCAACCTGGAAGTAGGTTATTTAAACCCACCAGCTTGGAGAAAGAGGGACAGTTTTTTTCCTGTGCAATTTACAGACTCAGAAACTTGTTGGAAGGTCAGCTATGAGTTAGTTCTGTCTCAGGGGTACACAACAACAATTCCATGTATAGATAAGCGTGTAGTTAGGAATAGTCAATAGTAAGAGGTTATTTGGCTTGCACACAGGCATTAAAACATTGTATTAAACACGTAGTGTATTAAACATGCGACTTTAGCTGTTAAACTGATTCTAAGGAAACAAGCCTCTCAAGTTAATTGTAGTTCTCCAAACATTTGTTCTCCACCAAACAAACCAAACCAATCCAACTCAACTCAACTCAAACTGCAGTAGAATTGGAACTCCTTCATAGCTAATCATAAGAGATTGCTCAAGTTTATCTACCAAGTTCTTGCTGAAATAAAATTGCAAAAAAGATGTGGCCTTTGGGTTAGCAGCATAAACTCTTTATGGAATATGCCACCAGAGATCCTGAATCTTTGTTGTAACTAACCTAATTTATGATAAAATGACAAAAAAGATCAGGAGACCCAACCTACCAAAAACCCCCAAGAAACCAAGTCCACAGCCATCTAGTCAATTCTCATTCATGGTGGTCCTTCACCAGGTTTTGGAGGCTGCAGACTGCCTATCCTTTACCTTGGAGCAGCTGACAGATCCTAACTAATGACCGATGGTACATTATATGATGTATAATGTACTGTTGCTGTTGATTGCCATCAAGTCAAGCACAACTCATAGTGACCCTATAAAAAAAAGGCCTGAAACCTTTCTAGTAACTATAGTCACTTCTCAAAGTTCGTAGAGTTTCCAGAGGCATGTTGTTTGGGAAGTGCACACCACTTCTGCTTTAAAACCTACCTTAAACAGGGAGCTCCACAAAACACTGTCCACCATGGGTAACCGTTACAGCATTTGACACCCCAGTGCCACAAGGTTCAGCATCACAGCAACCCCAGGTAACGTCAGTACATCATACTGACAGAAGAGTGCTCTATCACTTAGAAGAATGTTCCTTTAAAATATCATAACTGACTTTCAAATACAAAGGCCCTTTACCAAATAACTGATCATGAGTAAAGACAAAGTGATAAATTTTCTATGCCAAGATTTTTCCCCATCCCTTTCCTTAAACATTAGAATTCTCCAATGTTTTTTACTTGCTTGTAACCTCCTGTTCTTTCAACAAACTTTTTGCTTTTATATCTCAACAGAATTCACCATTACCATGCTGAAGAAACTCAGTTTTACAAGCTGCAGGCATCCAGATGTCAGAAAGCAAGTGATGTTAGTTATCTACCAAGGTCCCATCACCTAGAGCCGTCTTGGAACCAACTTGAAGGGACCTAGCTACAATAACAAAACTGAGTCATCAAGAGAACCCCTGCAAGGTTGTCTATCATGCCCTCACACTTACATGTTTGTAAATGTTGGTAATAAAAAATCCCACCACTCCATCTGTATCACCCTACTTATTTTGTCTGGATTAGCCTCAGTAACTTTGTAAGGGAAGCTCTAGCATTGGAGATCAAGGAGAATTGCACCGCTAACCCAAAGGCCATGCATCTTTTGTGGTTCAAATTCACCAGCCACTCCTTGGGTGAAAGATGAGAGATATCCTCCCATATGATTTACAACCTTCAAAGTGTGAGTCAGAACATAATAGAAGACAATTACACACACATACACACACACACACACACACACGGAGGTGAGAGAGAGGAGGAGAAGGAAAGAGAGAGGGAGAGATGGAAGGAAGAAAGGAAAGAGGAAGGGAAGGGGAGTGAGAGAATGACTATGTAACTTCTTGGAGCTTCTTGTTGGGAGTTTCTTGACTCTGTTTTTCTACACTTTGGAGAATGCTCTTTTTTTCAGTTTTAAGCATGTTGTTGTTGTTGTTATGTGCCGTCGAGTCGCCTGCGACTCATAGTGACCCTATGTACAACAGCCCTAAACTCTGCTCTGTCCTGTGCCAATCACACTGTCTCTGACACTCCCATCCCAATTATCCCAGTCACTGAATCAATCCACCTCATAGAGGGCCTTCCTCTCCTGCACTGTCCCTCCACCCTCCCAAGCATGATGTCCCTCTCTAAGGACCGGTCTCTCCTCACAACATGTCCAAAGTATGTTAGACGGAGCCTCAGAATCCTTGCCTCCAAGAAGCCACCCGGTTTAACCCTTTCCAGGACAAATCTGTTGGTTTTCCTAGCAGTCCATGGTATTCTCAATACCCTTCTCCAGCACCACAGCTCAAAGGCATCAATTCTCCTTCTATCCTCCTTGGTCATTGTCCAACTCTTTGATGCATAACAGGTGATTGTGAAGACCATGGCCTGTATCAGATGCACCTTAGTCTCCAGAGAGATACCATTGCTCTTCAGCACTTCGGAGAGGTCCTTAACAGCAGACTTTCCCACGGCAATGCGCCTTTTAATTTCCTGGCTGCTGGTGCCAAGACTGTTGACTCTGGAGCCAAGCAAACGAAAGCTGTGTACAATCTCAATCTCTTCACCATCCATCCTGATGCTGCCAGTTGGTCCAGTGGTGAGAATCTTTGTCTTCTTGACATTGAGCCTCAATCCATATTGTATGCTGCAGTCCTTGACACTCTGCAGCAGGCGCTTCAGGTCCTCCTCAGTTTCAGCAAGCAGGGTTGTGTCATCTGCATAACGCAGATTGTTGATAAATCGTCCACCAATCTTGACCCCACATTTCTCCTCATAGAGCCCCGCCTCCCGGATAATCTGTTCTGCATATAGGTTGAAAAAATATGGATAGGGCGCATCCCTGGGGTACGCCCTTCCCAATTTTGAACCATGCAGTGTTCCCTTGCTCTGTTCTGACGACTGCCTCCTGGTCCAAGTATAAGTTTCGCATTAGAACGATCAAGTGTTCTGGGATTCCCATTCTACTCAGAGTCAGCCACAGTTTGTTATGATCTACACAGTCAAATGCCTTTCATAGTCAATGAAACACAGATAGACATTCCTCTGGTATTCCCTGCTTTCAGCCAAGATCCATCTAACATCAGCTACAATATCTCTAGTACCACGACCCCTCCTGAAACCAGCCTGGACTTCTGGTAGTTCTCTGTTGATGTGCTGCTCCAGTAGTTTTTGGATAATCTTCAGTAAAATCTTGCTTGCATGTGAAATCAGTGAAATTGTTCTGTAGTTTCCACATTCGGTTGGGTCGCATATTTGTAGTTTTTTATAACTAATGCAGAGGCCTCTTTTAAAATATATGCTAAAAACTTGCTGAAAACAGGTAACACTCATCACACAAATGTATCCCAAAAGGAATCTGTGTTCTCCTCATCTCTCATATCTAGACTTAGTGACTCTGCTCTAAGTTTATGAGCAAAAGATGCTTTGAGATTGTGGTCCAAAAATACGGGGTAAATTTATCTTGGTGGGAAGGGCAAGAAATAAAGAATTATAGGATGTGGAATGCAGTTCTTCTGCTTTCCCGCATGTTCACAAGAGAAATTTGCTTCAGTTTCAGGAAGTTTCTAATCAAAACATTAAATAATTTGAGAAAATGGAATAAAGCTTGCTCTTTCTGGCACTATTTTTTTATCCTTAGTTGAACAACCGTGAGATCTGGAAAGGTCTTCTGCAGGTATATAGGAGGAGCATCCACATTATATAATAAAAGTGGAAATTAATTAGAATTTGTAAATGTTTCAATTAGAAAGACTGAGTTGGTCCATTATTGAGGAAGTTTTATGCACATAAACATGCATTTTGTGAAAAGAACTAGAGTTGATTATTTTTTTTATTAAAGGTATTTCATGGAATAAAGGGTCCATAAAGAATTAAAATGATAATACTCAAGTATGTTTCCTCTGTACACAGGTAAATTACAAGAAATTAAAAGAATTTAGAGGAATAGGTATCTGAAAAAATGAAAATTTAATTCCACAGGCATTTCAAGTCTTAGAAATCACTATTAACTCAGTTGTAATACTGCTTATGTAGAAGTCAAGCAAAATATAAATAGTACTCCTATTTTTGGAGAAAGTTACACACGTTTTTGCTACAGCTGTAATGGCTGCACCATATTTAGAATCATACAAGAAAAAAATTGCTTTATTTAGGCAAAAGCTTACCCATTTCTCTGATAATTTTCTTGCATCTCTTCATCTCTTTCAGCATTTGCCATTTAATTTATAATCTAATGCCTCTGAAATAAAATATTAACACTCATGACTATATGACATTTTATTACTTAGTTGATGTAGAACAACTTTTATATCCTTAACAGTGTCTGAAAACATTCTCCTTAACTCAGAACTTTACCACATCCACTTCCCCCTTTTTCCCATTGAAGTTTCTTGGTGCTTCATCTTTTCTGGTTTTGTCATTAAATGTATAACTTTTGTGTCATGCTGGGCTTATAATTGGAATAAAATATGGATAATACTTGGTTTTCTTAGAACATTGGGTTTTATTCTCATTTATGCATGGGTTTAATTATAATTAGTGAAAACGTTAAATAATGCTTGGTTTTTCCTGTAAAACTGGTAAGGGACGTCTGGTAGGCAGTGATCTGAGATAGTAGAACTTACTAGTTTACCCCGCATTAAAGCAAATTAATTTTCTACTATATATAGACAGGGAACTCTGGTGGCCTATTGGGTAAAGAGTTATTCTTCCAACTGAGGGGCAGAAAGTTTGAGTCTCCTACTTACTCTGTGGGGTAAAGATGGACAATCTCCTCTTCTGTGATTTACAGTCACTGAAAATCCATGAGAGGATCAGCTATGAGTTAGTGTCTGCTGTATGGCAACAAACCAACAATATATGGAGTAAAAACTATCAAAAACAGACTATTTGAAGGAACTCTAGTGGTTTAGCCCAAAAAGTTGTGCTGCTCACCCAAGAAGTGAACTGCTTCAAAAAATCTACTCATGATTAAAGCTATATGAAACATACCGTGTTCTTCTTTTGGATACACTTCAGATTCTTAACTAGTCTTCTTGGTGTTGTTGTGTACCGTGAAGTCTGACTCAACTCATAGTTGACCCTCCAATGGGTTTTCAGAGGCAATTAATCACCCGGGAACAGATTGTCCATCTTTCTCCCACAGAGCGATAGATTGAAACCATGTTACTTCCTGTGGCTTGGTAGTAAAGCTCCTTACTAAGCTGTTGGAGCTCCCTTAGATCAAGATAATGTACATGCATTGTCATATCAGTGCAGATGTATAGAGAAATTTGTGATTCTACCTCATTTATTAGGTCATAAAACTGTTTCACCTCTGTTCTAACAGCCCAATGATCATGATGAACGTGTATTTAGCCTTGTACTTATTAATGAAATGGTACCCAGGGGTATGAAAAAAGCTAATATACTTTTTCAGATGAAACTCTCCATGAAGGAATGAGCCCAGTAGTTCAGAAATTCTTTAGCTATTGAGAAGGAATCTGTGTGCTCGACACAGTGATTGATAGGCAGGTTTTTCCTTTCTCAGGAGTGAAGATTCCTAACCTTGTATGAGCTCTCTTTTCAGTCCTTATATATATTTTACATTATCTCCAGATACTGGACATATAAGTAAAAATAAGAGCTATCAAGAATTTGTGTATCATAGAAATGAAAAATTATTTGATAATATTAATTTTAAGTACATTAATAAATACCTTCAATCTCTCCCATCGTTGTCATGCTTAGGATCATAGTGTTGATGTGAGATAGCCACAGATTATAATTAATCATAAGTAACATTTCATAACACACAGTAAATAAAGGCCCTAGTCCAAGATAGACCCTTAGACAAATTTTCACAACTGTTTATACGACAAACCCATTAAAAAAAAGAAAAATCAAAAGAATCAAAGCTCACCTTGTTAAGTTAGCATCAAAATCTTATGTGTTTTCTCTCAAAAATAACTAGGGATAATTTCCCGGCTGTGCTTTATGAAGCCTATTTTCTGATTGCACTGTAATATCTGATTAAAATGACAGTGAATTTCCTTGTAAAGCACACTATGTTCTTTAGGTCGTAATTCACTTTGAAAACAAATTGATCAAAGAAAGTTCACCAAGCAAATTGAAGCGCTACCTTTTTTTTTAAGGTGTACAGTACTACTTGCCTATTTTCATCTTGTTTCGTTCTAGGCTATTATTTTAGTTAACAAAAATAGTAATTATGGCAATGATTAAAAGAAATATATTTTTATTAAATCAGTGACATTGTTGTAAGGAAGGTTTGTTGAGTAATACTATGTTTTTCATTTTCTAGAGCTGCTGTTGATAGGCAACATCATGATAGATGAAGAAAAGATTGAAATGCCAGTGATTTCATCTTACTTAGGTCCACAATCAACACCCCTGGTACCAACAGTAAGGAGATGAGAAGGCTTACTGTTTTGAGGAAGTCTGCAGTCAGAGACCTCTCCAAAGTATGCAGATTAAAAAAAAATCAGTTTGAGGACTAAGGTGCAACCTGATTCAGGCCATGGGTTTTTCAATCACTTGCTATGTATTTGAGAGCTGGACAATGAATAAGAATAACAGAAGAATTGATGCTCTTGAGCTGTGGCACTGGAGAAGAGGATGGAACATTTCATGGGCTACCAAAAGAACACACAGATATGTCTTGGAAAGAGTGCAGCTGGAGTTTTTTTTTTTGGAGGCAAAGCTTTGTCTCACATAGTTTTGGCATGTTGCTAGAAGAGGCTATTCTTTGGTAAGGGACATCATGCTTGGAAAGGTAGAAGATTGACACAGGGAGGAAGACCTTCCATGAGATAGATTGACACAGTGACCACAGCAATGGGCTCAAGTGTGTCTAAATGATGAGGGTACCACAGGATAGAACAGCATTCACATCTGTTGTTCATAGAGTAGCTATGAATCATATTAGACTCAATGACAACTAACTACAACAACAGGGCTTGTGCAACAGAAAAAAAGTGTAAGCAGGAGGCTTTAAAGAACAGAAATTTCTTTCCTAACAGTTTTTGAGGCTAAAAGTATAAACTGGGGTCTTCCCATGTAATTTCTTTTGTTCCCATAGGTAACCTCATTTTCATTGGTTCCCTGGATCATCATTTGGTATCTGTCGTTCCCAGAATATGTCTATGCTCCTAACCTTTTATACCTCAGAATTGTTTAGGTTTAGAATGCACCCTACATGAGTATTGCCTTAACAATTTAAGAGATAAAGCACTATTTCCAAATAGGGTTACATCAACAGGTATGTTACTGTATATAGTCCCATAGATTCCAACTTACACAGATTCTAAAGGACAGAGTAGAACTTCCCCCTAGGGCTTCCTAGGACAATGATAGGACAATGGACGAACTGTTTGGTTGTCAACTAAAAACGTTAGCAGTGTGAATTCAGTAGTCTTCTAAAGACTGACTCTCTAATGGGGTATTCTAGTTGACTTGAGTCCAGTGGGTCAGCTTTGGCTGGAGAGAATCTTTATAGGAGATCAGCAGGCCCCTTTCCCCTTGGACTATCCTGGTGACTTTGAACCATTAATATTTTGGTTAGCAGCTGAATCCAGCCTAGGGTCACCAGGGTACCTTCCACTGCTATGGGAGTTAGGATTCCAACACAAATTTTGAGGCATACAATTAAATCTATAACATTTTACCCTTTGACTCCTCAAAAATACACTTTTTTAAAAAAAAATACACTTTTTATCCACATGCAAAATACAGTTCTATTACATCATCTCTAAAGTCTTACTTTAGAAGACCCTCTATGAGGTAGATTGATTCAGTGACTGGGGTAGTTGGGGTAGGTGTGATGGAGATTGTGAGATTGGCACAGGATAGAGCAGGGCTTAGGACGGTTGTACATAGGGTTGCTATGAGTTGCAGGTGACTTGACGGCACATAACAACAACAACAACAACAACAAAGTCTTACTACATTCAGTCTTAACTAGAAGACGAAAATATAATTTTATGAATGATCTTAATAAAATATAGGAGAAATGTTGTTGTTGTTGATTGTCTTTGAGTCAAGCACAACTCATAGCAGTCTTAATGAACAAAAGGCCTGAAGCCCCTCTACGATTATTGACCTTTATCAAAGTTCATAGAGTTTCTGGAGGAATGTTATTTAGGAAGTGGATGCCACTTCTGCTTCCAAACCTGTCATACTATGTTTTTGTTTTTATGTACCATTGAGCCACCTGCGATGTATAGTAATGCTATTATGTAAAGCATACAGTCCCTGTCCTGATCCAGCCTCACTAACTCTAACACGTGTGACCCATTCACTATATCACTGACTCAGTCACTATATCAGTCCATCTCATTCTTGGTCTCCCTCTCCTGCACTGTCCGTCCACTCTTCCGAGCATGATGATCTCTCCTGGCCACGTACTCAAAGGAAGTGAGGTGGATCTTCAAAATCCTAGCTTCAAGAAGATACTTAGTTTCACCCTCTCCAAGACAGACCTATTTGTTTTCTTGGCAGTCCGTGGTATGTTCAAGACTCTTCTCAAGTACCACAACCTGAAGACATCTATTCATCTTCTGTCATCCTTAGTCATTGTTCAACTCTTGGAATGGCCTGGATTAAGAACACCTTTGTGTTTAAACTGGCATTGTTGCTCTTCAGCACTCTGGAGAGGTCCATGACAGCAGAGAATTTGGACATGGTATAGCCTGGAAAAAAAATCTTTCTACCTGTGTATCTATAAAACCTAAATTGCAAGTTATCCACTTTCACAGTGTTGTGATTGGACTGGTACAAAGTAGATATTTTCATTTCAAATAGGAAAAGTTGAGGGAATCATAGACATCAGGTAAGTCTAAAGCCCAGCAGAGCAAATTTCATTAACTTTCAAGACCCCTGTATAAAGTAGGACACTCATTTCTGTTATTTAGAATATCTTTTTTTCAGAGTAAAAACATTTCATTGATTTTTAAAAATACTGGTCTCACCAGAAACTCTGTTGCCCTAGTGGGTAGGAATTGTGTTGCCAAGCCCCAAACGGGCAGTTTGAATCCATCAACTGCTGCATAGAAAAAGCTGGACAATCTTCTACCATTCCGTTTACAGCCCCTACAGCCCCTCCAGCATCAGCTATGAGTTGGTTCTTATTGGAGGACAATGAGTTGAGTAGTCTTATACCATATTTGTTCTTGTATATTGACTAACTTATTTCATTCAGCTTAAGGTCCTGCAGGTTCATCT